GGGATGGCAGCGGCTTCAAATCGGAAGCCACCGTATTGTCATTAGGTTTCAGAGATTTTGCTATAGGACTTGGAAGTGAAAGTTCAGATTTCCTCTTGGAAGATGTCTCGACTGAGTCTTTCACTTCGGATTGCTTGGGTGCACTATCCGCACCGGCTCTGATTTTCCGTTTCCATGATGGGGGTCTGCGTCTACCACTTTTACCAGCCTTGAGAATTCCGGAATTTGGGACTTTGTTGAAAGATCCCAAATTGAAACCCGTCGATTCAAAAGGCTTGTTAGAGGACATACTCTGCAAAACCATGGGGAGCATCTTTACCAGGCTCAGAAGCAATAGGAGCATCCCCAACAAGGCAATTTCTTTTAAAAGGTGTGTTGTCTTCTGGATACTGGAAAACGTGCCCTTTGCCTTTGTCTATCTGGTGAGTAATCTTTGTGAGGATCGTAGAAGAATCAYCTACAGTCTCYGKAATAGATTGTTGGACCCGGTTAATTCTAGCTCTCCTTTCCGTTTCATCAGTATGAGAGGTATAAAGGAGAGCCATCCGTTGATCCTGCCTTGATAATTCTGGAAACAGAGGAGGAAAGCCTGGTGGAGCGTCCATTCCTCTCCTCACAGGTTCAGAAACCACCATGGCTGTCGTAATATTGGGAGTATTACTTGGACTTTGATGKTYCTGTCTCGGCGGAGGACGGTTCTTGCGCAAAAGAGGACATGCGGCTTTCTCATGAGTAAGACGAAGACAGTGGAAACATCTTTTATGAATCCTCTCATACTCGTACTCAATGTTCACCGATTGGGACTTTGAAATATTRAACACCTTCGTGTTCCTCGCAGGGTTACCAATATTAAAGTTGARTCGAGCTCRGATGTACTCTGTTTTGTGCGACACCTTGGGGTCATAAGCGATCTCCTCCACTTTGCCTATGGCCTTGGCTAAAGTGTGCATCYTTTCGACTYTGAAATACATGGCAGGGATGTTTTTAATACGGATCCAAACATCGAAAGATGTTAAGAAATCAGGTGGAGGGTCCGGATTCCAGCGTTCCAGAATCATTGTCCAATGATTGTAAGACCATGGACGATCTCTAAGAACTGTTATGAGATCTTCCTCACGTTGAAAGATAAATTGAAACCGGTCTCTTGACAAAGCAATGCCACGCACTATATCATAGACTCTCCATGCAGTAGGCATGTATTCAATCATCTTTGCCATTGATTGACAGTCCGGGTTTAGAAGACGACCCAACAAACTTATCTCGTTTGCTGCCACCACCCTGAATCTGGGGCTATCGGGAAGGGTGATAGGTTCGTCATCCTCCAACGACATCGAACCAAGAGCAGCGTGCAGATTATCTGTCATGGTAGAGTTGCAGTTGGCGAATACGAGATGGTCGCGGCGGAGCAGAGGATGAACACTAGGTAAAAGGTCGATGGAGATCGTATTAAATTTGCATTTAAGAATGCAATATTCAGCAACACACTTTAAGGAATTCATTTTTGATTTCACTCCTTGGTGAACACGGAATTGTCACAAAAGGAAAGAGATGTCTTTCAAATAAGGAAAGAGAAGATGTAAGAGAATCGGATGATTGTCAAGTTGCCTTTTTCTATACCGTTGCAGTAAATGTCGGCAAAAGCCCACTCAATATCGAGGGGAAGAATAAGGAAAATAAGACAGGCAAACCCTCTAATACAACTAGAGAGGCCTAAGCAAAAGAGAAGGAAAAGTCGTGATTTTCTATATTAGTATAGTTTATCCGAAAAAATCTACAAGAGTTCTTCTTAATGTAATTGTAATTATACAAACCAAAAAACTTTTTCTAATTCACTTTGATTGTTGATTTTTTTTTCCGTGTGTGTGTTAGTGTTTTTAAAATTGTTTTTAAAATTAATTTTGACATTCAACCCTATTTCTATTAAATGCCCCATCTTGATTAATGTTTGATTTATTGAAATTCACAAGTATTGGAGCTTTTTAGCACATTTATTTTTGGACAAAATCTCGTGGATAAATAATGATAAACGAAATATCGATTAAGAATACAAGATTCACACAGAACATGAAAGACAGCTAATAGCAATTAACAAAGCTAAACCAAAGACAAAGTAGACATGTTCAAAGGATTGAAAAGCCTCATCGACCATATTCACATAAGTGGACATGTTTTTATGGACATGTTATCATAGACGTTACAATAATTTGGAGAACATTCTGCTTGGTAAAAATAGAAATAGTCATTTTTAACAAATTCTATTCATGTCGATGGTAAAGTATCCACATAAACTTATCCACGGTAACATGTCCACGGTACATGGCATTATTCACCTGCTTGCTGAGCCTCTTAATAGGCATCCAAAGTATCGAGAAGAAACCCATATTCCTTCTTCTGTCAATTTAAACTTACAAATTCTCGACATTTAGTTCTGATTTGAAAATATCAAACTGGATATTGAACCATAGCAAGTTTGGATTAAGATTTTACCCAACAATCAAAATCAAAACCCAACTCTCAAATTTATTGGATTACGAACTTGATAATGAGAATGGTTTCGGGGCAGTATCTTGCCGAACTTCAAAGCTGGTGACCCTCTTCCTCTCATCTCTTCAAGTGGTCAAGTCTTTGCGTCCGCTCGATTTTCTTCGGAATGCGGCCTGGGAGTCCGGTTAGATAGGTTTTGGTTCTATTTGTTCACTTCCTTTACGGTGATAACTCGACCTTGTAGTTGTTATTTTCAGGTAATGTTGTTTGGGATTTACCTATGTATCACTCTTTCGATGTAACTCGATCAGTTGTAGAATGAATCAAAACTTAGATGAAACAAAAAAAGATCATTTAAATA